GCCCTCCTCGGAGACTGGGGACAGCTCTGCTTCCTGGTGGCTGCTCCGCCCCGCCCCTCTGTCTGGACGCTGCCCTGGGCACCTTCCCTTCTCCGTTCCTTCCCAGGAGCCGGCCCTGCCCTGGGTCTCAGCACCACTGCTCTGTGAGGCCGCCCCGGGGCCTGGCCGCACGGGGTGAGCGCTGGTGGGTCATCTGTGGGTTGAGGGGTTTCCCCCTTTTCCTAAAGGAAAAACCATCGTTCGTTGGGGGATAACTGTCTCAGACTCTGCCCTAAGCCCCTGACGCTCACGCTGTCACTTAGCTGCCACACAGCCCCGCGGTCCCTCGCTGTCATTGTCCCCGTGTTGGAGGGGAGGAGCCCAAGGCCCAGAGGTGAGGTCAGGCCCAGGGTCCCCGATCACGGAGGAGGTGTGTCCAGAGTCCAGGCCGCGTCCTTCGGACCCTAGAGAATCCCAGTAGAGACGCGTCACAGGACAGACTGACGCGGCTTCAGACACGGGGGAGGCCGGGACCGCGGGAGGAGTGACTGTGGAAGGAGGACCCGCTCAGGAGACGGAGGTGAGGAGTCTGGATGGGGAGCAGCGAGGAGAGGGGGCAGGCCCAGATGCCGAGAGAAGGGCCTGCAGAGAGGGGCGGGGGGGGGGGGGCGGGCGGGGACAGGGCTGGGGACGCCCAGACGGAGGGGCAGGAGGGCCTCAAGGAGGACAAATGGGGTCTCAAGCCCCAGTTGAAACTGTGAACTGTGGGCTCCCAGGCCTGGGGTGGGTCCGAGGTGCTTCCCTTTTGCTGGGAGGAGGCAATGCCCGCCGGTGGGCAGCCACTGGGAGCCCGAGGACTCCAGCGGGGAAGACAGGCACTGAGTCCCCAGGCATCTCTTGACTTGATAAAATGGAATGTTCTGCCCTGGCCGGTGCGGCTCAGTGGATAGTTTAGTTCTGGGTCAGTTCTGGGTCAAGGGCACATGCCTCGGTTGCAGGCTCCTCTCCAGCCGAGTTCCTGGTTCAGGGCTCGTGCGGGAGGCACCCAATCAATGTGTTTCTCTCACATCGGCATTTCTCTCTGTCTTTCCTTCTCTCTAAAGATCAATGTAAAAATATCCTCGGGTGAGGATAAAGAAGAAGAAGAAAAAAAAAGGAATTGTCAATAAGGGCGTGTGAGAGAACCGGGCACGGGAACGCCCAGGTGCTATGGCTGCTGAGCTGAAACCCTGGGTGGAAGCCAGGCTCCCCTTTCCCCCAAGCCCTGCCATAACCCCAGAGTCTGCAGGTCGTTGAGTGTGCACACACTGAGCACCTACTGTATACACGGCCGAGGGAGCTGAGAGGGACCAGACAAGGATCCGGGGCTCAGCCTCCTGCGGCCTCTGTCTCACCCCCAGGAGGGGGCGTCGGAGAGGAGAGAGCCACCCCCTCCCTGGCCCAGAGCCAATGACAGGGACAGGGGCAGACAGCTCCCCGGGCTGTCAGACCTGAGGACCGGAGCCAGCCTCCAGCGCTGTCCTCACAGAGCTCCGGGGAGACGGGGCCCAGGGGCTCCGGGAGCAGAAACACGGCGCCCTCTGCCCGCCTGCGGCTCCCTGGGGCGGCGGAGGCTGGTGAGGTGAAGAACAGCAGTGACAGACTCCCGCGTGGATTCTGTGCGGGGGTGGGGGGGGTCCCCTCGCCGACGGGCTGGCTCCTGGCGGGCAGGATGCAGACCCAGAGAGGAGGAGCCTGGGGCCCGGGGCTGAAGCCCGAGGACCCCCAGGGAGAAGGGCCCCCACGCCCTCTCCTCGGGGCTGTGGGAGGCCGCACACCTCCAGGCTGTGACCCTGGGGTGCCGATACCGGCCAGCTCCTCCTCAGTGTCCCCAGGACTTTAAAAGCCACAAATATGCCAAGAGCAGGCCTCACCCCACTTGTGCTGGGCAAACCGGCCCGGCCCATCCCCGGCCCAGACCAAGAGGCACAAGCTTGCTCACTCGTGACAAAAAGGAACCTCGTCAGGGACCCCGGACACACCCGTGCCTACCTCCTCTCGGGCCAAAACAGGAAATGTGGACACTGCCCCAGTGTGCTTTACGGGAGGACCTCAGCCTCGCCTCTGCTCCTTCCCTTTTGATTTCTGGGCTCTGACTAACACCCCATCTCTGTTTCTGGGAATAAATGACCAAAATATCCACAGGGTGCCTAGTCTGGGTGGAGGGCACCCCGAGCAGGGGACAGACAGGTGGTCTTACTGTGCTGCCCCAACCCCATCTCCCGGGCCCTCTCAGAGCTCTGCCGGGGCCCAGGGCCAGAGGCCTGGAGGGGGCGGGACAGCCCGGGCACGCTGCTGAGGCCCGGCTGGGCTGGGTCTGGGGGGCTGGGCTGGGTCTGGGGGCTGGGCTGGGTCTGGGGGGCTGGGCTGGGTCTGGGGGCTGGGCTGGGTCTGGGGGCTGGGCTGGGTCTGGGGGGCTGTGCTGGGTCTGGGGGCTGGGCTGGGTCTGGGGAGCTGGGCTTGGTCTGGGGGCTGGGCTGGGTCTCGGGGGCTGGGCTGGGTGTCGGACAGCAGGCCTGAGGCCTCCTACAGAGCAGCCTGGCCCTGACTGCAGACACACCCTGGTCACCCATCCTGGGCCCAGAGCGACGGGGCAGTGGGCCCGCCTGGCTCTCTGCCCTCAGCCTGGGCTTCCTGGGGCACCGCCCGGTCCCCAGTCTCCCTGACGAGGGGGCTGCACCCGTCCCAGCACGGCCGGCTCCTGCTCAGGGGCCGCTCCCCCGGGGCCTGGATCCTTCGTCCTCTGTTCAGAACATTGCACATGTCGGTGGAAAACTCCAGAAGGATGTAGGAACAGCTTTACATGTCTCACTCAACGTTCCGGAGACAGACGTGGGGAGGGACTGTGCTTCCCCAGAAAAGACAGGATTCCCTTTCCTCCTCCTTCTCACGGAGTCTCCGTGGGCCAGGCCGCTTTGAGCCACTCCATCACGAGGCTCTCCCGGCCCCCGTACCGCACCGGCTGCCGGCCTGGCTGAGGGAGCCCGGGAGGAAGAGCAGCCGCCCCGTCGCCTGCCCCAGAGGGCCGGCCTCAGGGAGCCGGGGAGAGGATGGGTGGATGGGGGCCCCGGGGAGCGCAGGGGAGCAGAGACGGAGAGGGGAGGGCGCCCAGGCATCTCCCCTCCTCCGGCCCCTCCCAGGTTGGCCCCGGACAAATAACAGACAGGAAGCCTCTGGGAGGAGGTCCGAGCCTCCGTGTTCCTGGCGGCCTGGTCCTCACAGCCTCTCCTGGCGCCTCACCCGCCGCTCACTGCAGAGCAGGCTCCGGTGTGAAGACAGCGGGCAGGGCTGGCCGGCTTTGGGGAGGGGCAGCCAGGCGTCAGCAGGGAGCAGCTCGGGACGCCCGGCTGGGGACAGGGGGCGGGGAGGGAGGGGGACCTGGGGAACAGGCCACAGAGACCTCAGAGCTGCTGGCCGAGGAGCCAGCCTGGCGGTGAGACCTGCCTCGGGGACGGGGTGGGGTGGGGGGCACAGCGCTGTCCCTGCGAGATGGCCCCTCCTTGGTCCCATAGACTCCCCAGAGGAACCTCGTGAGCTCAGGCGGGCAAGCGAAGTGGCACTGGGCCCAGGGCGGCTGCCCTCCAGCTGCAGGGCACCCGGGCAGGGCGGGGTAGGCCTGGGACCCCAGGGCACAGGGCCGTGCTCATTAGGACCTCACACTCTCTGTCTGGCACAGGGTTTGTGCCAGGAGACCGTCCTCTGGCGCCCCATTGCAGGGGGGGGGGGGGCTCAGAAGTGCTTGTGGGCTGCGGACAGGAGGAGGCTTGGGGTCCAGGGGGAGAGCTGGATGGATCTGAATGCCTTCCTCCCTGGGGCAAGATCTGGGGGCAGACAGCGCCCGGGAGATGCTCAGGGACCCAGGCCTGGTCCCCGGAGAATCCTGGGTGTGGACGGTGTGTCGCGGGGGGAGATCGTGACCAAGGCAGTAGCAACACTAGCAGAACCCACAGGCACACCGGGTGTCTGTGCTCCAGGCCTGCAAACCCGGCGCCTCCGCAGGGCGGCACGGCTGGCCCAGGCAGCCGAGGTCGAGAGGACACGGCAGGTGGGAGGAGTCTCCCCCGAGGACACCTGTTTGTGCACGTGCAGGGGCGCCCCCACCCCAGAAAGAGGGGGACCCTTATCACAGGCTCCGTGTGAAGGATGTGAGGAGCCGGCTGAGAGGGAGCGGCCTGGTTCCCCCTGCGGGCGGCCTGGGCCCCACACCCCGAGCTGGGCACAGCCCCTGGGAGGCAGCGTGGGGCCGGCACAGGCTGGTCTGAGAGGAGCCGCGGGCACAGTCAGCGGGACAGAGGGGCAGCCCCTCGGGGACCGCCTCTACCAGCTGGGCTCAGGTCACACTGGAGCCTGGAACACAAAGTGTCCTCCTTCTGCCCCCGGTTCCTCGCGGCTGGGGGTGCAGAGGAGGAGCCGTGGCCCCTTCCTGAGGAGGGCCCTGCTTCCTCCTGCTCCCAGGCCATCCTGGACGCGCCTGAGGGAGCCTCTCTGTTCTCCTCTGGGTGATGGCGGACACAGGCTCCGAGCCCAGGCCCTTCCCTTACGGGGTGGCTCCTGAGGAGAGCTGCGCTCACCTGGGTCCCGCCTGCCCTTTCTCTAGAGCAGAGCCCCCCTGGCTCAGCCACGAGGGCCCTACACTGGCCTCCCAACCAGCCAGGCCCTGCACTGGGGCCTGTCCTGTGGGGCTGTGTGTCCGGGCCGGACCTCCCTCAGTCAGGAGCACTGTGCTCTCACCTGCGCTCTCACCTCCTGCCTGGCTGTGCCGCGCTGCCCACAGTGGCCCAACCTCCTGGGACCTCACCGGCCCAAGGTCAGTCCAGGGAAGGCCATTGTCAGAACAGAGAAATGAAAATCTAACTTGCCCTGAGGGCACTGATGAGACATTTGGGGAGTTTCCTTATCTTTGACTCCATTGGGTGGCATGAGTCTTGAGTTTTGAGAAGGGGTGGGGCTCAGCGGTGCAACACAGGAGAAGGACAGGCCATGGCCACAGAGAAGGGGAAGGACCTGAGACATGGCGGACAACCCAGCACCCAGAGCCAGGTACCACCGGCCCCTGAGCAGCCCTGCCTCTGAGCCCTCCTCCTGGCTCCCTGGAGGGGACTTGCCTTCTCCCCGAGGGCCCCCTGCTTCTCCCATCCCTCCTGATGGCCCTTCTATGTCCAGCCAGGACCCCTCAGCTGATGCCCAGCTGACCTGTCCTACCCCCTTCCCTAGGCCCCCGGATAGAATCTGGGGATCACCCTTGTGAGTTCCTGTTTCTCTTCTCCCTCCGTCTCCCATAAAATCTATTTTCTCTGCCCTGAACTGGGGCCCTAGGAGGTCACGTTCAGGGTTATGTCTTTGTTTTGTAAGGACATGATTGTTTTCATGACGAGAAGGGAAACACCGGGAGAGACCAGTTTGGCATTGTTCTTCCCCGATGGGGCCACCTGTCCCTGATGCTCCCTGGGGCTCGGGTTAGCCCAGAGGACGTGAGGAAAGAGCGCCATGGTCGGCAGCGGGCAGGGCTGGTTCAGTGGAAGGAGGGCAGGATGGTGATGCCAGGAGAGGCCCCGTCACAGCTCTGAGCCCCTGCCCTGCTCCCCGGGAAACCCTGACCACAGGGCTGGGCTGACATCCCAGGAGCCCCCACAGGGGTCAGAGAGGGAGGTTAGGGGCTCCAGCTCAGTGAGTGGATGGCCATCCTGTGGGCCTAGCTGGGATCTGGGTGGCGAGGGGAGGAGAACAGGGTGATCCCCTTGGGTTCCTCCTGCCTGTGCCCACAGACGCCTGATGGACATAAACACCTTCGAGGAAAACTTCTGTGACGTCAGGGCGAACAAAACATACCTGTGCTACAAGGTGGAGGTCCGGGAGGGGGACGCCTGGACCCCAGTGCTGGAGCACTGGGACTACCTGCGCAACCAGGTGAGGGCCCAGCAGGCAGGCCCCAGGGACGCAGGGGGAAGGCTGCCATGGCCTTGGGGTGTCCTCTGAGCAATGTCCCTTGGGCCCTCAGCTGCTGTGATGGGCAGCTTTGCCCCACACCTGAGGAGGCAGGCACAGGGTCCCAGGGCCTCCAGGCTCAGCCTGTCCCTCCTGCTGTGCCGCTGAGGAGGGGCAGGCAGAGGGAAAGACACCTGGACAAGGGTGGGCTCTACCCTGGCCCCGCCCAGCAGCCATGGCCAGAGAGCCCGAGCTGTCCCAGTGCGCCCCCCAGTGCCTCCAGGGAGAGCCGGCAGGCTGTGGTCCCACAAGAGCACTGCCAGCTGCACGCAGCCCAAGATGCTTCCCAGGCCCCCACCCCCCACCCCCAGTGCTGACTGCCTCCTCTTCCCTGAGCCCCTGGTCTCCACAACCTGTGAGCCCCACACAACGCTCCCCTGTGTGTTCTCACCTCTGCCTCGGTGCCTCCCCCTCTTCCCCGCACAGTTGTCTCACCCTTGGGCTCAGCACAAGGGCGGGGGGAGGGGGGGCCCAGAGTAGAAGCTTGTGGACCAGCGGGTGCACAGGAGGGAGCTGGAGGTCGGGGAGCAGACTCAGAGCCCCCTGCCTGCAGGAAGCACCCCCCTGTGTGGCATCAGGCCCAGGACCTGGGGCTCAGTGGCCTCTTCCCTCTGTCCCCCACTATTTATTTAATTATTTAAAAATCAAAGCTACTGCAATCCCATGGTGAGTGAAATGGCAACAAGCTCAGTGGGGACTGGTCAGTCTCAGAGCCCGGGAGCCATGGTGTGCGGGTGCAGAACGAGGCCTCTCTGCCCTGTGCCCGTTGTGAACGCTGATGTGTGATTCCTGAGTGCCTTGCCTTTGACCGTGTAGATCCTGCGTCCAAACAGCATTCCTCCTGACGCTGAGCCGTGCCCCTCTTTCTGTGCTGGAGGCCAGGGCCTCGCCTGCCTCAGGCTGGCCCCCTCCCGGTTCACAGGACGTGACAGATCCCTCTTCTCCCCCCTCTGTGCTCAGGGTGCGGACACACCCTGGTTACCCCGCCGTCATGCAGAGTTGTGCTTCCTGGATCTGTTCCCTTCTTGGCCCCTGGATCAGGAGAAGCAGTACAGACTCACCTGGTACATCTCCTGGAGCCCCTGCCCTGACTGTGTCCCGGAGCTGGTTGAATTCCTGAAGAAGAACAGCCACGTGAAACTGTACATCTTCGCTGCTCGCGTCTATACCTACTTCCTGGGATATGAACGTGGGCTGTGTGACCTGCGGGACGCTGGGGCCCAACTTGCCATCATGACACACAATGGTCAGCAGGAGACTCCTGACGGGGAGGGGAGGAGGGGAGGTGGGCGGGCAGAGAGGCTGGGGAAAGGCTGCACAGAGGGGGCAGGAGGACAATCTGGGTGGGGACGCCTGTCAGCTGCCTGCAGGGGGCGGTGCTGGGTCTGGAGAGGACAGAGTCTCTTGGAGGAGAGATCAAGGAAGAGAGGGGTCCTGGGGAGAGGAGGGGGGTTCCTGTGCCATAAGGACCAGGTCCTTCCTGGTAGAAGGGTTGGGGCTGCCTCAGATTCCAGTCCCAGTGGGAAGAAAGGATGTGAGGGTGAGCTCAGTGCCTGGGGAGGAGAGGGAAGGGGGCGGGAGATTCTGGTGGGGAGGGTGTGTCCCCAGAGTCAGAGACCTGGGCCCTCCCTGCACTCTGGAAGGTGCTCACCGTCCCCTCCCTGTTCCCATCAGAGCACCAGCACTGCTGGGACACCTTCATGGACAGCCAGGGCCAGCCGTTCGAGCCCTGGCCTAACATGGAAGAACAAATACAAGAACAATCTCAGCAGCTGCAGACCATTCTCAGGGTGAGATCCCTCCCTCCTGCTTCCCCCGCCCCCACCTCCTGCCCTTCTCTCCCTGGGCTGTCTCCCCTCTGGGTCACCTGCTCCCTCCTGGGCCCAGCTCCATCCCCCCCTCAGGCCTCACAAGTCCCTCTGCTTTCTCCCCTCCTGCCCCCCTTTTCCTCCCCACCCCCCCTTTGTGACCGCCCAGACTCCGCTCTGTTCACCTTCCCACCTGCCTCACTCCTGCTTCCTGTACCTCCTCCTCCTCCATCCAGAATCCGGAAAACTGAAGCACGGACATCCGTCTCTCTGAGCGGCCGGGGGTCTTCTGCTGAACGAGGAATAAAACATTTTCTTCAAGAAATGAAAAAGCATCACATGACGCATCTCCACCTGGACCCACAGAGACCAGCAGAGGCAGCCAACGGGCTGCTGAGGAATTTTTAAAAATCTGATCCATTTACTTGTCATTTAAGAGCAGTGATGTGTTCCAAACACACACCGGTAGCATTCTATTTCATACTGTCTGAATCACTTTTTAGGGAAATAATGATTTTTCTATTGTTTTTTAATCTAGAGTAGGGGTGTCGAACTCAATCAGAGAAGGGGCCAAAATCTAAAATCCAGCCTAAATCTCGGGCCGAATTGTTTACTGAACAGTCATAAACTGTCATTGTGATGGAAACGCAGCGGAGTGCAGTGATGACAGCGCGGTGCGGGCCACATTGCAAGGCCTGGCGGGACGGATTTGGCCTGCGGGCCTTGTGTTTGACACATGTGATCTAGAGCGATAACATAAATGATTAAGAATCTTCCACAAAATGTCTGTTCATCTGTAAGTGTAGCAGGAAGTCCAAACGGTTCAATAAACACCGGCAAAGTGCAAAGGGCTCTCTCTTTTGTGGGTCCCCCTGTGGGGGGCAGTGGTCTCAGGAATTCCTGCTGCTCAACCACCTCCACACTGTTGGTGGGACCTGAGGAGCCGCCTGAGAAGGAGCAGCCTGGTTCCCCCTGCGGGCGGCCTGGGCCCCACACCCCGAGCTGGGCACGGCCCCTGGGAGGCAGCGTGGGGCCGGCACAGGCTGGTCTGAGAGGAGCCGCGGGCACAGTCAGCGGGACAGAGGGGCAGCCCCTCGGAGACCGCCTCTACCAGCTGGGCTCAGGTCACACTGGAGCCTGGAACACAAAGTGTCCCCCTTCTGCCCCCGGTTCCTCGCGGCTGGGGGTGCAGAGGAGGAGCCGTGGCCCCTTCCTGAGGCGGGCCCTGCTTCCTCCTGCTCTTTCCTAGAAGTTCAGATGGTAAGGAGATCCTCTCTTTAGCTGCATTCCTACGGGTTTGCTTGGATCCAGCCACCTTGGCTTATCTGTGGAATCATCAGCCAAGTGTAAACCAAAATAGTCACGCTCAGTCAAATGGAGATGTTTGAAGACTACACCCAACAGAACCTGCCCCTGATCACGTTTACTGACTGGACACTTGTGCAGTGTCATCCAGAAGAAGGATGTGGCAAATGGACCTTTGTGTGCTGTCTGTCTGGGGCCAACTCTGATGCTGGTACATTGTGGGTTCTGCCAGCAGCAGACAGAAATGTGAGGCCATGACTGCGCTAAGGTCTTCGTTCCACAGCTGCATACTGTCCCCATTTCTGTGAAGTCCAAAGTCAAGCAAAAACCAGCCTGTGGTCCTAGACGTGCTAACCCGGGTTCCCTGGGAGGGACAGCTGGGAGGGGACACGAGGGACTCCCATCTGGGATACTGGACAGAGCCCCTCCCCCCCCCTGTCTGGGTGATGGTTATGCCACCTGGAAGCCCAGGTCCTGCACTTAGCTGTCAGTTATACCCCAGGAAACAGAGAACGGACAGAGGAGGCTGCGGAGCTCACATTTCCAAGAAGGAACGCCTTTCCCCAAAGGGCAGAGGGCGTCCTGTCCCAAACGGGTTCCCAGGTGAGAAGGCCAGTCAGATCCACGCAGACGCACCAGGATTGCTCTTGGCCTGGTCGCTGTTTTGGTGAGAAAGGACATTTAAGATTTTCAGCCATTGAAATCTGAATGCCTGGTCAGACGTGGTCGAAAGTGGAACCGTGAGGAAGAGGAGGAAGGGAAGCCGTCCTTGCAACATGACGACAACGACAAGAGCTGTCACAGCCAGTGTCGTCGGCGTGCGGTGTGACCAGGGACTGAGCCACGCCAGGGAGTGTGTTTGGGAGCCTCGCTGATGACAGCGGTGGAGCTGCCACTGGGGGGTGAGATGTGTCATCCCCGTGGGAAGCGAGACGGCCCTCTCCTGCTCCGCTGCTCCCTCCGGACTCTCTCCAGCCAGTGACCCCTCAGCAGGAAGGACCCTCACCCTCGCCTCTCCATCTGAAACCTGCCGCCTTTTATTTTTTTAATGTATTTTATTGATTTTTCACAGAGAGGAAGGGAGAGGGATAGAGAGATAGAAACATCGATGAGAGAGAAACATTGATTAGCTGCCTCCTGCACACCCCCTACTGGGAATGTGCCCAGAACCACGGTACATTTTCTTCACTGGAATCTAACCTGGGACCTTCCAGTCCACAGACAGACGCTCTATCCACCGAGCCAATCCGGTTCTGCCTTTCTCCTTTTAGACTCACATTCATCCATTCATTCATTCATCACACCTCACATTGAGCTCCCCTGTGCCAGGTGCGATTCCAGGGTCGTTCAGGTGCTGTGCAGTCTGTGCTCTGGGATTTCACAAACAAAAACTCTCCTTTCAGCCGCTCCTCCCTCCATCCTCTTCCCAGAAAAGCAGAGCCCCCCTTTCTGGAACATGAGACTTGTACAAACTGTCTGCGTGTCCCGCCCTCCTGTCCTGCCTCCCGCTGGTTTCCACCCCCCGCGCTGCTGTGCTGGGGGGAAAGGGTCTTTGTCAGGCCTCGCCCTGCCCCTCGCCCAGCGGCAAGTGACACAACTGAGCACAGCCTCCTCCTGCAGCTGCTCTCCTCTGCTGGTTGTTGGCGACACTCCCCTTCATTCATTTCTTCATTCGTTCATTCATTCATTCAACACACTTCCTAATGAGCTCCTCTGTGTAGGAGACTCAGCAGCTCAGCGGACTGCACCGCAGCGCCGCGCCTGGCGATCCCGGGGCATTACAGACCCTTGTGTTGTCACCACAGAGGCTTAGGCCCAACACTAGCTTCAGTGGGTGTTATTGAATTGTTTTTGTTTTAATACGTTTTTGATTATTTTTGTTGAAAATCCGTAGCAATAAAGGGCTTACTGAGAATACTTCTGACTTTTGATGTGTGATTGTCAAACAAGAAAGCAAGAAAGAAAGAAAGAAAGAAAGAAAGAAAGAAAGAAAGAAAGAAAGAAAGAAAGAAAGAAAGAGGAGGGGAGGAGAGGATAGGGGAGGGGAAGGGAGGGGAGGGGAGATGACTAGGGTGAGGAAAGCTTGAAAATACACCGCCCCTCAGGGTGGAAGTGGCCCTGGGGATGGGGACAGGCAGGGTTCTCTGGGTCTGAGCAGGAAGGCTGGGTCTGAGCAGGAAGGCTGTCAGGAAGCAAAACCGGCCCCTGGGTTCGTATTCCTCATTCCTGGGCAGAACCAGCAGTCCCCCGGCCTCCGTGGCTTCCGTCCACGGCTCCTTCCTCCTGCTGACGCTCACTGTCCCTGTGGGGCCGGGGCGGTCTGCCCGGAGCCGGCACTGGACCAGGCCCAGCAGCTCGGCGGCCGGTGCTGGGCTTTTAGAGCTCTGCCTGAGGGAGGTGTCACGTCTCATTGGCCAAAGCTGACCCCAGCGCTGCTGGGGGGCGGGGCTCCACCATGGCCCGGGGACGGAGAACCAGAATGTTCCACAGCAGCCCTCTGCCCTCCGTCACCATCCCCGCCTGCGGATGTATGGGTCAGAGCCAGTCAGTGAGCCGGGGAAAGGGAAGAGGTGTGGCCATTGGGGAGAGACCCATCCCCTCTCTCCACCATCCCTTTCCCTTTCCCTCTGCAGGCAGCCTGGTCCTGCTGCCCAGAGGGCCTGTCTCCAGCAGGTCAGCGCTGTGCAGAGGGCAGCCCCAGAGGAGGAGGGAAGGGGGGTCTAAGGCTAAGCAAGGTCACACCTGCAGCCCTTTCTACGTGGGCGCCCTGAGGGGTCTCTGTCCTCAGCCTTGTCCCCCTGGGCCACCTGGCCTCTCCCCCTCTCTGGGCACCTTCTCTGCAGGTCCCACTCCCCGGGGCCGTGCCCTCTCCTGGGGCTGCCCCCACCGGTGCTTCTGAATGGCCCTCCCGGCCCTCCCCCAGGCCTGCTGTCCCCTTGGTCCTCCTCTCAGTCTGCACTTGTGGGGCTGGCTGTCCCCTCCCCTCACTCCCCCCCTCCCGCTGTCCCTGCAGCCCCTGCCCTCCTTCTCTCCCAGCTTCCTGCCCAGAGGCAGCAGGAATTGCTGAAGGGAAGGGCTGCTGGGAGGCAGGGCTCCCAGGCCACCAGGTGGGAGAAACTCCAGGGAACCCTGC